CTCGGTTTTATTGACCCTCCCTGGGGTTGTGTTATTTGCGTGCGAGTCTGCGCCGTCGTCGTTGATTAAAACATAGGAGCTCGTACCACCCAGCCAGACCCCTTATCGATACCCCCCCTGCACGGCGCTCGGGCACCACTGCCGTCGCGGATCCGGGTTTCTGGCTGTACGCGCGGGAAAAAAGAGTGCGCAATCGGGAGAGACGGTGCGTTAATTCGAGTGCGAAGCAGAGGCAGAAGCACAGAAAGCACTAGGACTGCGACTCGGAAAAAGGGAGCGCCCGACTGTGAAGCAGAAGAAACAGGAAGAGAGGAGGACGACGACGAGGGGGAATATGAACTGCCGATGTCCCTCTCGCCCCCGTCAAATAACCTCATGCGCGCCCTCGTTTATCAAAATCAAAAGTGCCCACGTATTCCTTGCAAACAATGTGACAGAATCGGCGCGCGCGTCGTCGCGCGCGCGTGCCAGAAGTTGTCCAGCACCTTCGGTTTCGCTCGGAATTCAAGATCCAGGTTCCCGAACGCATAGAGAAGCAATCGGTCCTGCATTTTGACTGTTCCGCTGAACTTGCCCGCGCGCCCATGCGATTTCTTATTAAACAAAAACCATGTGTTTTCCACGCGGGCCCCTCGCGCGCGCGCGTGTCGCAATCGGTCGAACGCCCTTGCGCGCTTGCGGGGGTCGCGATCCCTGTCGATGACTTCCGCGCGGGCCACTCGCCCGCGTCGGCCGCGCTCGTCGTCGACATCCTCCCAAACTCTCCATCGTCCACGCGTGGGCACCGCCATCGTCTTCGACCTGGTCAGCATCGGCGCCGTCAGTGGCCTTGCCGCGGGCATCGTCTTCATCGCCATCATCATCGCCACTGTCTTTGTGGAGGACGATCCATGGAGAGGAAGCGCGCTGCGAAATAATTCCCGGATGTCTAAAACATGTGTTAAAAATGGTTTAAACCTTTTTTTGAATAAAAAGGTAAATATAAAAAAGCATGTTTTAACAATGTTTAGAACCTGTTTCCTACATTTTAATCGCATTTTAAACTCCATGATAGGACTGTTAGGGTGTCCATTGTCGTGGCATCCACAACACTATCATCATTGCGTCAACCATTGTCGATTTCGCCACGATTCCGCGCCAGCCCAAGTCGCCGACGCGCGCCGAAGTGCTCGCGCCCCTGCGCGGCCTGCCGGACGTGCTGAGCAGTCCCCGGCGGTCGGCGCTACCGCGGCCGCATCGGTCGCGCCAGACTGGCTGGCCGCAGTGCGCGCGAGACTGCGCGCGCAAATCTGCGGGCGGGGGGGAGTGGGTCTTGCAAACCAAGGAGCGGGTGGGCGGGATGATCACGCGAGCAGTGGAGCGGACAGCTTCAATTTCTGCCAGGCGCACTACGCCCCATAGGTCGGACCGCATAGATTGCACCACGTAGATTGCATCACACGTATTGCACAACGTATGCTCTCCGTCCGAAGAAGAATTCCCCCCCCTGGACGCATCGATGCCCCGTGGGGACAGCGTAATTTACACAAGGTCCCGCCCCGCCATTCTTTCCAAGTGTGAGCGCGCGGCATCCCAGGGCCCCCCCCGTCGCCCCCCCGCCATCCCTGTCAACATAGCAATGCGCGCGCATGCCCGTGCATCAAAATCGCTCAAGTTCAAGACTCCCTCCCAACCAAGCAAGACAGTCCGCGCTCGTGCGTCACTGCGCGCGCACATCGAAATCATGCAGAACCTGAGGTTTCGCACGGTTTCCAAGATCGAGCTTCTTAAACACATATTCAGCACGAAGCAATGTTTTTGCAACCATTTGTCATGCAAGATCTGCTCACGTGCCCTTGCGAAGGTTTGGGAATGCCATTTGTGTTTCACCGCTTTCGCCACTTGAGACCGCCACTGTTGAGGGGGGGCGGGGCGACCCTTGTCGAATAATGCCACGCGGGCCACTCGCCCGCGTCGGCCACGCGCGCGCGCCGACATCCCCCCTAATTTTTATCACCGAGACGCGGGAGCCATCATCGCCACCGGCGCGAGCGGCTTTGGCGCCGCCATTGGCCTTGCCACCGCCATCGCCATCATCGTCACCACCATCGCAACTATCATCGTTGCGTTCGCCGTTATCGACGCCACCATGATACCGCGCCCGCCCGAGTCACCGACTCGCACCGAAGTACCGCTCGCCAGCGCGGCCTGCGAGACGCGTTGGGGAGTCCCCATCGGTCAGCGCCCCCGCGGCCGCGTCGGCTGCGACAAACCAGCTGTCCGTTCTGCGCGCGAGCTTGCGCCGCCGCAGAGATGCTCCAACCGCCCCAAGCAGTCATCGCAATTGCCGCCGCATGGGCTTCTCCAACCAAGTTGCGGGCGGGCGGGGTGATGGCACGAGCCGCGGGGCTGACAGTGTCAAGGCCGGCAGGGTGAACCTCTATTCTACAGAAAAGAGGCCGGATCCACCACCTCCCCGAGGCACAGCCAGAAGGCGGGCCAGGGGGGAAACAAACACACACGCGTCTGTGGGAAAAAACACACAAACACACACTGATGGAAACAAAAACACACTCACTGTGGGACAAAAACACACAAACACACACACACATTGTGTGTGTGTTTTGTGTTTTTTTGTGTTTTGTGTGTTGTTGTTTGTCCAACAGTGTGTGTGTTTTGTTTGTGTGTTTTTGTGTTTTTTGTTGTGTGTGTTGGGGTTTTGGGTGTTTGTGTTGTGTGTTGTGTGTTTTTGTTCGCGCGGACGCGCAGACGCAGGCCGAACGGACCAGGCAGCCACCGCGCGGCCCGGCCAGCAGGGCAGCGCCACGGGGCCGGCCGGCAGAGCGAGGCAGACCGAGAGACGCGCGGGCGAGCCCGCGCGGCGCTCCCGAAGATCCCAGGCGCACGGCCGCGCGCGTGGGGCTGGGCCGCGCGCTTACCCGTGCACCTGCGCTCGCACACGGCGGCGGAGGCGCGCGTCGCTGCGCTCCCTCCTCCTCCCTCCTCCCTCCTCCCTCCTCCTCCTCCTCCTCCTCCTCCTCCTCCTCCTCCTCCTCATCATCCTCCTCCTCCTCCCTCCTCCTCCTCCCTCCTCCTCCTCCTCCTCCTCCTCCTCCGCCCTCCTCCTCCCCTCATTCGCGCCCCCACCGGAAACGGCTGCTCGGCGCGCGGCGCCCAGCGCTCCGCGGGCGCGCGCCGCGCGAGGAGGCCCCCCCGGAATCTCGTGACCATCCACTTTGGACGCCCGAAATGGGTACGGAAAGAGTGGGTACAATGCCCAGCAACAAATGTTGTCCCAAACCAACAGCGGCCGCTGTTGGGCAGGCGGCCTTCTGTCTCGAATTGACACAGGCCGCGGCGGCGCGGACAGCGAGTCCTGTTCAAAATGGACAGGAACTGCTGTTGGGCATCGTACCAATTCTTTCCGTACCCATTTCGGGCGTCCAAAAGAATCTTCGCTGGTGGATCCATTTTGAGGAATCGGCGGGCCGTCGGAAGCGCACCATTGGACGATTCTATGTTGGACGATTCTATGTTCTGGAATTGATTTGGCCTCTTGGGACCCTCCTTTGGAGGTTCCGTGGCCACGTGGAACTGCCGCGGGGTGGTCTTGGGGCATCTTGGAAGCATGTTGGACGTCATCCTGGGCCATGTTGGGCTAGATTGGGCCATCCCGGAGGCCACTGTAGGCAATCCGAAGCCCTCTGAGGACCAGATCGGACGTTCCTCTGACCTCTCGCCCCCCGTCCCCCCCGTCCAGACCCAGGGGAGGTGGATGGGAAGGGTACCCCGCCTGGAAGTGGAGGATGGAGGCTGGAAGCAGAAACGCCTCGCACCACCCACGCCCAGAGTCTGGTGGTGGTGTGTTCCCGCTCGGCACCATCGCAAGCCTCTGTGTTCGCGGAAGCGGCACGATGCGCACCGATTGATCAGTTGTAGGCGCTCTCGCCCCAGCGCGGGCAACCTCTCTCAGCAATATCGCTCTCGCCGCAACGGTCGCCTCGTTTTGATGTTCGGGGGGGTGCTTTTGACTCGCAGGCCGAGAGCGCAGTGAATCGCTGGTCGCCCCGACTCGGTGTTGGATCGTTCGACAAGTAACTCGCCTCGCTGTCTGCCTCGTCGTCTTCATTATCACCCTTTCGCCTCCATCAAAGGATTTTCCTGCATAGCACCTCGCGCACCCCGTCGGTGCGCACGAGTGGAGAGGCTGATTGTGAGCGAGAGCAGGGGTGTAGTCTTGCGCGCTGGTAGCCCTCGGAGGTAGTCACGGTTAGGACGACTCGGCATCCCAACCTTGGGGGGGGCGGGAAGCGCCTTGGGAGGGGGCGCGTAGAGGCCGCCCCGGACTACCGTAAGGGGCCCTTTTGAGGCTAGCCTGGACTGCCGCGGGGGGCCTTTCCGCGTGCAAGCCTGCTCCTCAGCCTCTCGAGGGAACGACTGCATCCTTCTCACCTGCTGGGCCCATCCAAGGCGACACGTGAATGATTCAAAGCCCAGCGCGACCGTGATCCGATCCCGTCGCGTCGCCGACTCCAGGAGAGGACACGGGCGGTCGCCAGTCTGAGTTCGTGGCCGCCCCCCCCCCTCCCCCAGCCAGATGACGAGGCAGGCGTCGAGCAGACAGCGGGTCGCGTGGCCGCGGCGCTGTCGCGGGGATAGCGAGGACGTGAGCCCAGGGCGCACGCTGCCCCCCACGTGCCCGGCACCAATGTAGGAGCCACTTCTTTTCTAGGTTCCCTCGCTTTGGCCGCTCGGCGATGACGCTGGCGCAGCGAGGTTTGTTTAATCGCTTCGCTCACTCCGCCGGCCCTGGAGCGCTATTTGGGGCCTCTTGGGGCCGTCTTCGGGGCGCCTCTTGGGAGCGTCTTGGGGCTCCTTGGCGGCGTCTTGGGCTCCCCTGGGGCCTCTTAGGGGGCTCTCGGGGGCCCCTTGGGGCGGGAGGGGGGTAGCCGATTGCAGCCACCCCCTCGGAGGCCACGATCCTCGTGAGGGGTGGCGAAAAATAGCCTCCCCCCGGGGATCGCGCAGCGAGGCTTGTTCATGTGGTCTTCCACGCTGGCCTCATGCTTCACCTCTCCTCTGGCTCGAGTTGTCCTTTCCCTGGGCAGCGCAGCAGCAAGCGTGGCGAGCACGGGCGCCTTCTCAGCGTAGCAGGCGCCCACTGTTGTTGGTGAAATTTCTTTTGCGCAATGGCGAGGTTGGTAAGCCACGTTGCCCTTCTTTTCTTTGCTGACGCCCCCTTGGGTACGCTCGCCGCGCGGGTGCAGGCCGGGAGCAATGACGGAGACCTCCGCGTGAGCTCCAGTGAGGGATCGGCGTTGACACCGATGCCGGGGATCTTCACGACGAACAAGTTGGAGTATGATCCACTGGCCAGGTATTCCGAGGGTCAGAACATCACGGATGGATTCGATGCGCAATTGCTCATCATTTGGCTCGCGAGGGCGGCACAGAAAAACCCGGACCAGGTCGCACTGCGGGCGCCGAAACAGGACAAGGACGGGAACCTCCTGCCGAAGTCAGGCTTTAACAAGTTCAACCCCACCGCCCATACCCATCAGTATGAAAAGTATACTTGGAAGCAGTATTACAATCTTGTCATACAAGCGGCCGCCGCCTTCCAGAGCATGGGGCTCAAGCCCATGGATGCAGTCAACATCAAAGGCCTCAACTCGCCGGAGTGGCTCATCACCTTCCTCGGATGCATCGCTGCAGGCGGCCTACCTGTTGGCCTGTACCCAACGGACAGCCCTGACACGGTCAAATTCAAGGCACAAGATTCAGGGGCAACGTTCATTGCTGTGGGGAAGGCCAGGGATCTCCAGACCTATTCGGAATTCCTCAACGAGGAGAGCTTCAGCTCCGTAAAGGCTGTGATCTACTGGGATGCGAACCCCTTGCACCCAGAGTCGCTGGACCAGGAACTGATCAAGAAGCTCAGTGGCAATCGCCGCAAGGTGGTAATGTGGAAGGACTTCCTCAAAACCGGAGCATCGCTGCCTGCTGTTTTCAGGGACCGGGTCCGGCAGCAGGTGGTGGAACAGAAACCTGGTCAGGCCGCGACCGTGGTCTACACTTCTGGCACAACTGGGAATCCCAAGGGCGTGCTTCTGTCGCAGGACTCGCTCACGTGGTCAGCCACTCAGGTCGCGAAGGAGCTTCTGACAAAAGGTGTCAAACACATGAGAATTGTTTCTTACCTCCCGTTGAACCACATAGCAGGCCAGATGTTGGACATCGTCGCGCCTCTCTACATTTCCTCCCGCGCGGGTGGCGAATATGCGACAACGTTCTTCCCAGCAGTTTGCTTTGTGAAGAAGACATGCTTCAAGGAACAGCTGAAAGATGCGTCGCCCACCCTCTTCCTGGGTGTGCCCGAGGTCTGGGACGGGCTGAAGATGAAGATTGAGGACGCAACTAAGTCATGGCTGTTTGGCAAGATCAACGACATAGCCCCCGCAATGTTGTTGAAAGGCGTCGGGCTTGGCTCAGTGGAGTACGCACTTTCTGGCGCGGGGCCCATCACGAAAAGCACCTTGAAGTTCTTTAGCGGCATGGGGCTGAACATTTTGAACCTCTTCGGCCAGAGCGAGTCGTCGGCCCTGGGGACTGGCTGGAGGAATGAAGACTTCAGTAACTTCAACGTGGACGAGAAGTTCGGCAGCATTGGTCGCCCTCTGGCTAACAAGTTCAGGCTCGTAGATAAGGACAGCGAGGGTCAGGGCGAAATTCAGCTTTGGGGTCGGAACATCATGCTCGGCTATATGAACCGCCCTGACAAAACGGCGGAAGCCATAACGGAGGACGGTTGGCTCAAGACTGGGGACTTAGGCCGCCAAGATTCAGATGGATTCGTCTGGCTCACCGGCCGTCTAAAAGAGATCATGAAGGACAAGGGGGGTGAGATGATTGCTCCTGTTGCCGTGGAGGAGGGCATCAAGCTTGCTTGCAACAAGCCGGGCGCGAGCATCATCAAGCATGTGATTGTCGTGGGCGACGGGAAATATTACATCTCGGCACTGCTGACGCTCGTCGAGGCCGCAGTGGAGGGAGTCCCAAATGGCCAGCTGGCTGGCTCGGCCAAGGACGTGGACAGAATAGCCAAGACAGTGGCGGAGGCCATGTATAGCCCAAGATGGGCCGCCACACTCTCGCAATGCATCGCAGAGTATAACGCTGTTGCGGCGAAATCTCAGGAGCGTGTGTTTCGCTACTGGATCTTGCCGAAGGACATCACGAGAGAGGACTCCCCGGACCTCATGACGCAGACCTTCAAGATCAAGCGCACAGAGGTCAGCAAGAAGTACGCGGCGGAGATCGAAGCGTGCGGCGGCGACGAGGCGCTGACCAGCAGGGAGGTGAAGGCGTGCGGCTCCGCGTGAGGCCGAGTTGGTCACGGATCTGGTGAGGCTGCTCCCACAGGAGGATCGGGCTGGACGAAAGGGGGGGATTGGGCAAGGGGGGGGTACGAAATTTGCTGCATGCAGCTGGTGTCGGCCCCACGGAGGGGCCCATTCTTCGGTACATGGCCGCCTCCGGCGCCGGGAGGCGCCGGGAAAAGCAGCTGCGTGAGCCGATTCTCAACTCCCCCCTCTGCTATCCCCCCCTTTCGCCCGACCCGAGAGGAAGACCCGCACGGGCAAGAGAGGATCACCGAGAGGCTCCACAGGCTGAGGAGGCCGGGCGCGCGCAGGAGCGCGGAAAAGCGTGCACACGAGAGAGTCATGCGAGAGCACGTGTTGGACGCTCGCAGCGCCTCCGCCCCGCTCCTGCCCCGCCCGTCACAGCCCCCAGACGTTCCCATCGGCACAGCTGTTTGCGAGGTCGTCCATACTCTTAGGATTGAGCGGACGACGACGACGACGACGACGACGACGACGACGACGACGACAAGGGGAGGGAGGAGGAGGGGGACGGGGAGCAGGAGAAAGAGGTGCTGGCTCTGAACCTTCTCGCGTGGTTCGATCTGCAGCGTGGGTCCCGCCTCCAACGCCCCATCAAGGAGCGTTTCGCTCGATCTCGTCTTGCCCAGGATGGACGATCGAGATGTAGTCGGGCGTATTGTCAGCATGAGGAGTAGAACGGGGCATATGAGGAGGGAAGGAGTGAGGCAGGGTATGGCCGTGAACCCCCAATTTGGGTCTTGGGGAAGGGCTTTCGCTCAGAATTGGAAGGGGAGCTTGAACTCCCAGTTGCGGAGGCTATGCCTTCTGTGTTTTCTGCGCTTGCCACTCAGGAAGCGTCGTGGGCTCAACCCAAGCCCCCAACGTGGTGTGTCTTGTCATCAATTAGGCTTTGTCCTAGGGTGTTCTTACTTTTTTGTCATAAAACAGGTAGCTACAAGAACCGCTCGCTCTGGGATTTTTCGAGGTTCCCCAGGTTTGTTTCCTCACAGGGGGGCTTCTCGGGGTTACCTGGTCTTCCTTACGAAGGCCTTGGCTGCCCTGGTCTTGTTTTCTTCTGAGGGTTTCTCAGGTTCCCCAGCCTTGTTGCTTGCTTGGGTTCCTCGGGGTCCCCAGTCTTGGACCCTGCTTGGGTTCATCCGGTCCCCCTGTCGTGTTCCTCGGGTTCCCCCGCAAAGCCAAGCAGTGCCAAGAACGGCGCCCATGCAACAGGACGTTCTCCCCCAGCTGAAGTCCCGCCGGGCTCATTGCTTCAAAGAGTGGACGTCGGGAGGTCTCGACCCCTTCCCCAGGCCGCTTCTCCACTCTGGGCCCGCCGAGGTCCGAGAATTGCTCGGCAATCAAGGGTGCCGTCGCGCTTGTTCCGCGCCGCGGGGACGGGAGGGGGAGGAGGGGGAGGGGGAGGAGGGGGGGGGGGAGGAGGGGGAGGGGAGGAGGGGGAGGGGGAGGAGGGGGAGGCGGAGGAGGGGGAGGGGGAGGAGGGGGGCCAGGCATCCCGACCCTCGATCCTCGAGGGAGGAGGGCCTCCTGCGGAGCCGCGCGGAGGCGCCGCCGGCGCAGCGCCGCCTGCCCCCCCGGGGATGCCGCCGGCGGTGCCGCAGCAGCTGCCAGCAGGCGCGGGCCCCTGCCCGCCGCGCCCGGAGCGAGGGCAAGTCAAGCAGTGGCAAAGCGTCCCGGCTCGCCTATGGCCCCACCAAACAATGTTCTGAGAACCTTTAAATTGGTGGTTCCCACGAAATGTTCTTAGAACATGTCTGGCCGGGACTGTTCTGTTTTCACACATCGGGCTTATGTTCGAAGAACATTGTTTCTGTTATTTGAATATTTTTCGGTTCTAAGAGCATTTCGTGGTATGACTATAGGAATGCCGGGACGGTCGGTCCCTGCTCAAGCAGGAGCTGGGCGTTTCGCAGGTTTCGGCGCCGGGAGCTTCGCATCCACTCTCTGGGGCAACGTTCGGGGGGGGGAGGCGGGCTCAGGGGGGAGCGCCTCGCCCCCAATCGCCAGTGGATGGCCGATGGTGGCCTCATGGCCGACCTCGCCCAGGAACATGCGGCTTCACTAACGGGAGCCTGTCGTCAACCTGCGGGCGATGTGTCGCCGACTCCAGGTTGATGTCTGCTCCTCTGAGCCAGCCCCCCCTGACGTTTCTCCTCACCCCGTGCCCCCGGCCCCATCGCCCTCGCTGTGGGGCGCCCCCTTCCCTTCCTCAGGCGCGCTCTTGCGGGGTGCGCGACCGTCGCTGGATGGGAGAAGAGGTGAGGCAGGGAGGAAGCGGGGAGGCAGTAAGACGTCGGGGGAGAGTCGGGAGGAAGTCGGGAGCTCGGATGGATTCAGCTTCAATCGGAACGATTCGGGTGGACCCCGTCCATCTGAATAGGGGAACAAAAAGTGGCATAAGCATAAAAACTCGGAGGTCCGCGCGGATTTCTCGGATCGGCGCTGGGGCCCCCCGGCGGCACCTCCGGCGCCGCCCCTGGCGCGCTCCGCGCTCCAGGGAGGGGGGTCCAGCGCCGATCTGAGAATTTCAGAATTTCGCGCGGACCTCCGAGGTTTTATGTTATGCCACTTTTTGTGCCCCTACTGAAAGAGAGGGAGCCCTTGGGCTGCCCACGCAGCTCTTCTAAGGTGCCTCCGTGCCGTCGCCCCGGTTCGACTCGTTGTGATTCACGCGCGCTGCGCCGTCGAAGGAGGATGCGGATGGCAGCAGGGGGGGCAGGATAGGACGACGAGCCGCCGAAACGCCGCCAAAGGGGCCTCTCAAAGGGAGGCCACGCGGCAGATGTGCCTCGAGGGTGCGCTGATGCCGCGAAGGCGAGGCGCCAGACTGCAGCAGGGGCATCCTTCGTTGAAGATCCCTGCATCGGACCCCGCCTCGCCAGACATTCTGACCTGCCGGAGAGCATGTGGAAGCGGATAACGGAGTGGTTGGCGAGGAGAAGCCGCGGCCACGTCTCGTCGATATGCGCCTCGGCGCACCCGACTGGCGCCGCAGTGTACTCGAGCCCCTCGAGATCCCACGCCCGTCGAACATCGCCACCCATCTGCTGCACGCTGGTGGACTCCCTGGGCCAAGCCTCGTGCGTCGCATGCGCCGCTCCCTCGCCTCTGGCGGCGTCGCTGGAGATGTCGACCTCGAACTTCTCCTCCGCGTCGGGCTCGGAGGGTTGCGTGCCAGGGCCCTCGCCGAACACTCGCACGGAGCCGGGCTGCGGGTCGGAGACGCCGTTGGCGGCCCTCCTCGCCTTCGGAGCCGGCTTCGTCCTCCTCGTCGTGGCCGCTGTCCTTGGGTGTCGGTGGCGTCGGGCGCTGCTGCCGCCGCTGCATCGCCGTGGCCGCTGCTCCCGGACGCGGAGGCGGAGCCCACGCTGCCGCCAGGGTGCGCTGCTGGGGCTCGGGTTAAGTCGGGCGTGCCCCCCTACAAGGGATTTTCGACGAAAAATTTAAAATACCTCCAAAATAATCAAAACATAATCAAAAAATAGTCTGGGGACTATTTTGTTGAGTATTTTGTTGCCTTTTGGGGGATTTGTTGGGTTATTTTTTGGTTTCGTCGAAAATCCCCTTGTAGGGGGACGCGCCCGACAGAAGTCTCGGGGCTGGGAGCCAGAGTCGGCGGGTGCCCCCGGCGCCGTCGTCGGCGCGGGCCTCGCCGAGGTCGTCAGAGCTCTGGCCGCGGGGCGCGGAGCTGGACGTGCCGCCGCTCTGGCCGCCGCCTAAGGCTCTGGGAGGTGCTCCTGCCCGCGGCGCCGAGCTCGGGTCGCTGCGGCCAAGTTGCCCACGTCGGCGGGAGCGGGCGGCGCCGCCGCGCGGGCTCCTTGTCGGCTTGGCAAGGCCCGCTCGGCCGTCCTGACGCGCGCGCACCGCAGGGGGGGGAGCTCGCGGCGTCCCGCGGCACCGTGGCGCGCGCCCCGTTTCGACCGCGGCCCCGCGCCCCAGCCCGCGTGGTCGCCGAGGCCGTCGCCTCTGCTGAGCGCCGTCGCTGCGCGGGGGTCCCGAGGCCCGAGCCGCCCCCTGCGCGCCTCGCGCGGTGCGGCAGCCGCGGCGACAGGGCTGCCCGGCACGCCCGCGGTGGCCTGCGCACTGGCCTCTCGCCAGGCGCCCCTCCGCTCCTCGGCAGCCTCCTCCAGGTCCTGCGGGCGTCTCTCGTCCGCATCTGTCTCGGCATCTCGGTCGTGCCGCAGGCCTCGGCCCGTGCCTCTGGCGCTTCGCGGCGTTTCGCCGAGGCAGTGCTGCGTGCCTCGGGTGCCGTGCGGCAGGTAGCCCTGAGCAGCGCGCGGCCCGTCGCCCTGCGCTGAAGTCGGGCGTGTCCCTTTGCAGGATGGAATGTTCTCATAGCTCAAAGATAGTCTGGGGACGAGTTTCAACCATTTTTGATTGTTTGTTGAAACACTTGCTTGCCATTTTCTGTCCTCGAAAGTCCGCCTGTAGGAGGAAATGCCCGACCCAAGGCTAGAGACCTTGGGCCCGGGCGTGGGGGCAGGCTCTGTGGATGCGTCTCGCGCTGCATCGGACTCTTCGGGGCCGCGGTCAAACGCACCGCCCCTAGTTGCCGCGCTCGGTGGTCGCGCAGTCCTGACCCCCTCCCAACGACACCCCGCTGTAGGGAGGAGGGCGGAAGCAGGGTTGGAACTTGCAGCGCAGAAGACTGCAAGCCAGGCTCCCGGAGGGAATAAGAAGCAGGCAGGAAAAGACCCAAAAGCCTCGAGAAGCCGAAAGGATACGAACATGGCCAAAGCGCCAACCACCCTTGTAAAGCCTAGCACAAGGTCTCGACTTGAGGCCCCAACCTCGTTGCCAGCATCGAGCTGGCCCCAGCAAGGAGGAGGGGAAGCGAGGCAGCGGGCAACTCTGCAGAAGACGTTGCGATCCTCTCAAGCAGGGCAAGCAGCTTGCGCCACCGGCATCAAGCGGCAGCCTGTCATCGGAGACCATCTTCATCAACTCATCCACTGGACAGGCATGCATCCCGAAGATCTCCTGGATGCCAGCCTGTGGTGCAAAGGAATTATGACGCCCGGTCTGCACCACCAGAGGCAGCGACGGCCCCAGCAGCATCGGCAGCACATGCGCCGACGCCTTCAGGAATCTGGATACTCTCCCCAGGTACCTCCATCAATCAGGAGGGAAAGAAACACACAGACACAATTAATCGTCGATTCCCAGGAAAATGTGGGAAAATATGGGAAGTGTGGGGGGGGGGACAAGAACCCAGAAAATATGGGAAAAGATGGGGAATCCTTTTATTTGTGTGCAGTTATTTGTGTGTCCCAGGGCCCCTTCATTCAGGAACCGGATCCTCTCCCGAGGCACCTCCATATCAACGCGAAGCAGGGAGGAGGGAGGGATGTTTTTGTTTCCTCCCTCTGCTGTGCTGGGCCCCCCAGGCCCCACAACATTATGCCACGGCGCCACGACCGGGAGGCAGATCGGGCTAGCTGCTGGGA